TTATTCCTAAGATACAATGCTTAACACTGAACTTAATTGCCCAAACCTACTGTATACACACTAAAGAAACAAAACACAAAGGAAAAGTTCTATATTAAAGTTTATATATGCACTAATATTGGTGCCAAGCAACACTTAAGAGAGACACAAACCTTGAAGAACAGACATCTTTTTTCAAGTCCCATATTAAAGTTTGAATTTGATTTTGAACAATTAACAAAAAACCATCGCAATTTGCAAACTGTTTCATTTTCAACTTTTCTTCTTGTTTTATTTCTCCTTTTATTCTTTTCGTTGGCCAAACCATATGGTCCCAAACCATATGGTCTTGTTTAATTTCTTTCATTCCTTCTAATCCTGACTACAAGTTCCCTAAGCAAAACATTCAAGCAAAGGATAGCACATACCCCTAAGCCAACAGCTCCAAGTCCAAAAACAGCCACACTTGATCCTTTCTCAACCTGAGCTTCCTTCCAAGCTGCCCCAAATCCAGTTGAAAATCCACATGAAAGGACACAAGCATGTGAAAGATCCAAGACTGGATCAATCTTAAGTGCATTATTTACATTAACAACCATGTACTCAGACCATGTTGAGCAGCACAACGAGTGGCTCAAACGCTGGCCTCTCACAGACATTCTAGATGTGCCATCAAGCATTAAGCCACTCAAGTTTAAAGGGTATGTCAGGCATACATTTGTGTTTCCAGATTGACAGTTCTCACATCTCTGACACTCAGCCATGTAGACTGGAATCACAGTATCTCCTGCCTTTATTTCTGTCACTCCCTCTCCGACGCTCTCAACCAATCTGCAATTGTATCAACTAGCAAGTATTCTTTAATCTCTTTATAAAGCAAAATTACTAAATAAGAACTGTATATATTAAAAAAAAATTCAATTGGCATTCATTTGCTAAGTTAAATATTCATCTAAAATTTTTCTTTTAAAAAAGGTCAAAATCAAATTAAAACTATTATTGTTCAACTGAGGGAGTAGATGTTATTCTTCCAATTTTACCTAATTACAAGTCCCTACTAACCGAATTTTATGTTGTTCAAAAAATCATGTCCATACTAACCTCAAACGCTTGGGTTTTAAAGTTATTAAAGGTAAAAATAGGATTTCAAGCAAAAATTCCTCAATCTAGAAACCTCAAACTTAATAACAATAATAATAATAAAAACAAAAGTTCCTAAAGCCTAAAATATTTGGTCAAAAAGGTTGGTATATAAACAAACAATTTCCCTTAGAATTGTGCTTTTGTCCCCATTTTTAATTTCTGAAGTTAATTTCTCTCCTTTTTCCTTAAAAACGAGCAGTCAACCAGTTACCATAGACCAGTCTGCATAACTAAACTAATGTAAGACATCTAAAGGAATTTATGTCCAACACTAGTATGTAAGGAGAAAAGAAAAACTTTATTAAATACTTGACTGATACATTACCCGACACCTTCATGTCCAAGAACTCGAGGGAAAAGGGGCTGAAATGAGGCAAAAAGTTAATGAATATGCAGAATCAAACTGAGCTAAACTACACGAAAATAGTCATAAATTAAACAGAAAAACAAGCCTAAACCACTAGGGAATAAAAAAACTAACAGCAGGGAATCCTTTGGCGAAGAGCAAATCAGTGTGACAGACACTGGCATATAGCATTTTAACTCGAATTTCAGAAGATTTTGGTGGCTCTACTTGAATCTCTTCCACCTTAACTGGCTCGTCCGCCCCCCAACATACCACCGCTGCACCAAAACAGAATTCCCGGAGTAAAATAAACAAAAGTTCCCAGCTGGGTTTCGAGAAGAACAAAAAAAATATTCTTTCATTTCACCCTTTCGTGTAGGTCTGAAAAAAAAAAAACAAAGATCAAACGGCTCTAGTGGTCTAATACTTGGCTCCAAGTTTTAGCACTTGGCTTGACTTGGTTTGAAAGTTCAACTCTACGAAGGACTTTAAAACAGGTTAATCTCCTAACTTTGTCCCTCAACTATTGTAAGGATTTCTTATTTGATTTATGAACTTAAATAATCTCTAATTTAGTCATTAAAGTTTGAAAATTTGGTTGTCTTTTTGGTTTCTTCATTAAGTTTTTGCACATGATGCCGTTTAATTAACAAAAACTTCATATTTTTTCATCCAAATTGATTTGTGGATATTCAAATTTCAAACTAGTAAAAAGTGTGAAAATAATTCATTTTATAGAGTTGATGGATTTAAAAAAATATTAAAAATAATTTTAGAACAAAATAATGTTCAAGGTGAAAAGGTAAGGAACTAAAATTGATAAATATAGGGAAGATTATAGAATAACCTTGATAGGATAAAATCAAAAGAATAAAAGATTCATATTCATAAAAAATGGGCATTTGGATGCCCACAGAAGACAATTCGATTGACGATTTCTGGAGATCGGTAAAGCCCATTCCTAGAGGAGTAATTGAGGAAATTTCATAGAAAATATGCAGAGGATCTTGATCGCAACCATAAAAAACCCAATAAGCCCCCAAACCTCAACTTAGATAGGGGGAGAAAGGTAGATGTTTTCTCCGTAGTTCCCTTCCTCCTTGTCCTTCGGAGTCATGGGACTTCTCCTTGGGTGATGCTTGACAGATTACGAAGTACGAAGTCACAAGCTAAGACTAGAAAAACAGAACAATGACTTTCTAATCTTTGCTAATTGGATTAGAACAAAAAAAATATTTTGTAATTTAAATTGTATTAAATTATACAATATTAATTATTAGAACAAGAAAAGTTTCTTGAAAATGGAGAGGTTTCATAATTAATATAATTTAAATTGTAAAATATTAATTAAAAAAATATAAACAAAATATTATATAATTTAAATAACATCAAATTACATAATTTAAATGTTAAATAAAAGATGAGCCCTAAACATTAAGAGTTACAATCTATTGGATCTTGTTTTGCCGCCACACAAATTCTCAAAACAAAAGGCCAGGAAAACTAAAAAGGTAAAGTTAAATCTTTTATAAGAAAAGTGGAAAACAGTCAGGAGAGAGAACTGTCGGAAGAGAAGGGAAGAAGGAAAAAAAAAAAAGAAGAACAGTTTCACTATTGAAGATGAAGGCAAGTGTCTGCTATTTGCTGGTTCTCAATTGATTTGTGTTAAAAAGGTGAGAACGCAAGGGACGCAAGTGTTCAAGTCGAGCAACGATATCAAGTGTCATCCTTAGCAGTGCTAAGAAAACATATTTAGAACAAAAAGATGATAGTGATAAAGAATTACCTCTGCAGGTTATGACTCGTAGGTTGTTGTTGGCCATGAAAATGGAATCTGGAAAGACTTTACACTTGCAAATACTCGATTTAGGGTTACAGAGAAACGCTGGATGGAAATGGCAACTTCCAGGCCTCTTATCCATTTATAGCACTCCAAAGATTCGTCTGACTTGTGGTTGGCGTGCAACAAATGCTGTCCGAAATTTTTTTGTCCTGACTCGAGGCTTGAAATGAAAAATATATGCTATATATATATAT